TATAAAAACATATCTTATATTTATACTATTACGTAATGACTTGATAGCCATAATGGTAGAAAAAATAATTTTCTTTTATGCTTGAATTTTCCCACAAATAACCAACTTTTTTTTCTTGTAAAAAACTCAAGGAAATGCAAGAAAGTTGTGATCTATAGCTAATTTCCTATTTTACCCTTATTTTTCTTAAAATATTTTATTCGTTATTAATTTTAAAAAAATTTGGTATGAATTTGATTAATCATATAATTTAGCCCAAAGACTTTTGTATTGGTGATTGTCTTAGAATTATGTTTCGAGCCACTTTTTTTTAAAAAAAAATTTACGTTTAATTGCAATTACATATTTTTTTCTTTTTTTAGATTTTAGACCAATTTAATATAATTAAGGGTAATTTAGACAATTACAAAAAATTTCTTTTAACTTAAAATTCTTTCAAATAATAAAATAATTTTTTTTTAAAATTTTCCGGTAAATTTTTTATTCTAACCAAATACATGTATGAAAATATATTTTCTATCATTTTCTTTTCTTTCACTTCACTTCCTATCATTTTCACTTTCCATCATTTTTTTCTTCCTAACCAAACGGACCCTTAATGAAATATTTGTGCGTCATAGTGTTCCTCCATCAGGAAAACTGCATGTAAGCCATTGCACAAATGCCTTCATTACCCTCAAACTCTTCAGTTTTGCACTTTTGCTACTTAATTATTGCTATATAGTAATACTAGTTCCATGACAATAGAAAATAACTACAATTTCCTATCTCAATTGATAATTTACAAAAATGACAGTATTTTATAGTTTGAAAATCCCATCTAACACAAATTATGATCTCGTAAGATAAATGGACATAAGGAATGCAAATATGCTCACTCAACCTAAACTCATAGTTTTGCCAACCCAGTTGTCTAGGGTACCACAAATAAAACTAGGGTGTTTATAGTCCAAGGCAAGTCAATGAAATTGCAGCCTGTTTTCTAGGTCATTATTCAAGAATCATGACACCATTAAACCAAATCAAATNGCATTATCTCATGGAAAAGTAAAAAACACCCCGTGGTATTGAGATTCAGTGCTGAGGTCGAGTATAGGGCAATGGCGCATACCACGAATAAGTTGACATGGCCACTACACTTGAAATTGGATTTTCAGTTTAACCTCCTTTACAGTTGTTCTGTGACAACCAGACAGCTATCCATATTGTTGTTAATCCAGTGTTTCACTAGAGAACCAAATATATTGAGGTTAATTGTCCTTTTGTTCGAGACAAGATAATAGCCAGAGAGATTATGACTCTATTTGTGAGATCTGAAGATCAGCTTGCTAATATGTCTAGCAAAGCAATGAGTTGTACACGTCTTACAACAATTTGTTCCACGCTTGGATTATATGATATATATAGTCCAGCTTGATGAAAAATGTTAAGAGTATTAAGGTATTATGTGTAAATATTAGAGGGTATATAGGTCTTTTGTATTATTACAAGTTAACTATAAATACAAGTGATTTATAAGAGATATGTTAAGTTTTGACCACTCTCTGTCTTTCTCTAATATTGTGTTAATTATCTCAACTTAACAAACAACATAATACTTATCTTTTATGGCCAAAATTGCAGCCACATGCGTTATGCAACATCAATTCTTAAATGCTTGGGCAAACACACAGGTTAAATATAGTAAATTTATTCCTCAAAAACTAAAATTTTTGTGTGAGCCCAAAAAATGGTTTCCTTTTCCAGACTCAATAAAGCCAATGAAATTTGTTTTTGGACTACTTGGGTTAACTCTTATCCAAAAGAATAAGTTTTGCACTGAACCAAACCTAAATGGCCTAAGCCCAATTTTTCCCCATTCTCCAAACACCTTCATGAGTTGCAACATTGTCAATCAAAAACACACATTATATTTCCATTCACTAACATGACAATAGAGCATAACTCCACCAATGAATCACATAAGTGCCTATTTCATATAGTTTTAGGCCATTGCCCCATTTCCGGACAATCCTTTTATTCTCTCAAATTAAAATCATAGTGTTATCATATCTTTCAAACATAACTTGTACAAAGGTTTGAGTCGCAAAAACACTATCTCTACAAGTAGGGCAAGGTTGCATAGATCTGACACTCTCCATAATCTTCTGTGGCGAGAGTCTTGTGCACCAGGTCAATCCTTTGCATGACCCATTAAAATGTTCCTCTTCGGAAGCACGAATATGGATACGAGATACGAGTACGATACGATACAGATACGGTGATATGGCAAAACACCAAAAAATAGGATATGGGTACGGTTAGTATAAATCTATAAAAACATATCTTATATTTATACTATTACGTAATGACTTGATAGCCATAATGGTAGAAAAAATAATTTTCTTTTATGCTTGAATTTTCCCACAAATAACCAACTTTTTTTTCTTGTAAAAAACTCAAGGAAATGCAAGAAAGTTGTGATCTATAGCTAATTTCCTATTTTACCCTTATTTTTCTTAAAATATTTTATTCGTTATTAATTTTAAAAAATTTTGGTATGAATTTGATTAATCATATAATTTAGCCCAAAGACTTTTGTATTGGTGATTGTTTTAGAATTATGTTTCGAGCCACTTTTTTTTAAAAAAAAATTTACGTTTAATTGCAATTGCAATTACATATTTTTTTCTTTTTTTAGATTTTAAACCAATTTAATATAATTAAGGGTAATTTAGACAATTACAAAAAATTTCTTATAACTTAAAATTCTTTCAAATAATAAAATAATTTTTTTTTAAAATTTTCCGGTAAATTTTTTATTCTAACCAAATACATGTATGAAAATATATTTTCTATCATTTTCTTTTCTTTCACTTCACTTCCTATCATTTTCACTTTCCATCATTTTTTTCTTCCTAACCAAACGGACCCTTAATGAAATATTTGTGCGTCATAGTGTTCCTCCATCAGGAAAACTGCATGTAAGCCATTGCACAAATGCCTTCATTACCCTCAAACGCTTCAGTTTTGCACTTTTGCTACTTAATTATTGCTATATAGTAATACTAGTTCCATGACAATAGAAAATAACTACAATTTCCTATCTCAATTGATAATTTACAAAAATGACAGTATTTTATAGTTTGAAAATCCCATCTAACACAAATTATGATCTCGTAAGATAAATGGACATAAGGAATGCAAATATGCTCACTCAACCTAAACTCATAGTTTTGCCAACCCAGTTGTCTAGGGTACCACAAATAAAACTAGGGTGTTTATAGTCCAAGGCAAGTCAATGAAATTGCAGCCTGTTTTCTAGGTCATTATTCAAGAATCATGACACCATTAAACCAAATCAAATCGATAAATAGTATGTAATTCATACACAGTCAAAGAACCTTAAAATCATAATTTCTCCAATTTAGCTGTCTTGGGCAAAATTACTAATAATATTATATCTGCCCACATATCATAAACACATTTTTTATTTTCTCATTTACATAGGATTATTTAGTAAAGGAAACTACCTAGGTCGTCAGCTACCTAGTTGTTCGCAAAGGCAAACCCCATAAAGTACACAATTAAAACCGTCACGTTGATATGCCAAGGCAGGTTAAAGAAATTGACACAATGTTCTCTACTTTAATACTCATTAATCATAACAAGCTTAAATCAACAATCCATTTGATAGATAATACATTCTCATATACACAATCCTGCAATCTTAAACTCATAATTTTGCCAATTCATCTGGCTTGGGTAAGTAAGAATAATAATAATATTATCTCTGTCCACATATCATAAACACATTATGTGGTATTATCAGGGGGCGAAGCTATGTGTATGGATGACTTTTGAGGGATTTCCACATATACACTGCTATCTCAACAAAACTATGTCTAATTTATCTCATTGCCCCCTAAATTTTTTGGAAAATTTTTACTGTGCCTCTATTCTTTTTATCTTCAATAAATTAGTAGTCACCTAATCTAATAAAACAAATATTTTATTATTAGACTGAATAAAACATATGTGAAATTCATCAACTCATATATATCACTCAAAGACAATACCTTTGTTATTTAATACATTTCCTCATATATTTTTAAAAAATAATTGTGGTGTTGTCCTAATTCATTTTTCGTTAATTAGTGGCTCTAAACCCAGTAACACATAAACAAATGTTACGGATGATAAAATATGTTATGCCTTTCCAAACACATCAATTTTTTAACATTCAAAAAAAAAATTACTTTATCTCTGAGAATTAATCAATTATAGACGATTCTTGAGATTTGAAATAGTGTCGTGTTTCTTTTTAATAAATGATTGAGTTGAAATGTGCTATAAAAATATTACTGTTTTCATTTGTTCATATTTTATTAATGCTGACATAATTTTGATCTTGATTTTTATATAGTAATTAAGTCTTAAATTTTAATATATTTATCATAGTTGAACTTAAAGATTTTTGGTGTGAAATTTACACCTAATTTATTCTTTATTAATGGAGATGTGAGAAATTATTTTTAATACCAGTTAGTTATATTTTTCATTTATGTTTTTGCCCCCACTAAAATAGAATCTTGGCTACTGGGTATTATCATTTGCATGATAAAACTTAACTTTAACTACTAAAAAATTTTAAGATTAGTATGGTAGTATAACACTACATACTCCTCTATCTCTCCAGGCAAGTGAACTCGCCTTGATTGTCTGCCATTAATTTGATCCCAATGGCAAACTATACATAATTAGCACAAGTAAAACTGTTTTGTGGATATGCCAAGGCATGTTAATGAAATTGACAGAGCTTTTTCTACCTCATTATTCACGATCATAACAGAAGTACACCAAATCAAATCAATGACAATATGCACTTCACATATTTTTTCGATAAGAAGCAAACTCATGTATTAATAATCATTGATAAGTACATATACAATCATGCAAGAAGATATAATTTAACCAACTATAATACTCGTAAAAATTTAACATAGAAGAACCAATAATACCTTAAGATCATCCTCTATCTTGGCTATTGATACATGAATCCCATCCACAGTCTCTCTAAGAGGCGACATTGTTGGGAACTTCGCCTCATCCCACACAAATCTATAATTATCAATCTGAATTCAATTTTCTTGACAACAAAAACATAAAAACTTCTTCATATAAAAACCACTGAAACGTTTTACCTGGTGAGGTATGAATCAACAGGAGCCCCATCGACTGTCAATGAACTACTGACCACACCAGAAACCCTCTCCAATTCTTCGATCTGACGGCGTATCTTCTGTGACACTCCTTCAATGAAACTATTCGACTGCAATATTCCCCAGTTTACATGAGATTAATCACGTAACAATGATTTCTTCCAAACCGCGATGAAATTGAATGGAATTTGAGGAAATTCACCTTCACAAGGTCATCACTGAGTGCTAAAAGCGAATCTAGTGTTCCCACACGGAGATTTGGAATATTAAACTGCAAAATTCAAAGGTTTGATAATCCACAAAAATTGGCGTTTCCAATAGCAGATCTCGAGCTGAATCTAACATATTTTGGGTGTGTGTATTGAGATCATTACCCGATGTAGAGGAGTATCGAAGGCGTTCTTTGAGATGGATTCTTGCAATCGACTCCACAGAGAAGTTGCGGAGTTTTGAACGGAGAGAGAAACTACCCAGTACCTTGTCGCCATTGTTCATGCGATGTACAGAGACTGCTCCGAAATTCGGGTAAACAATTGTTGAGAGAAAGTGAATTTATACAGAGAAAAACTATGAGATTTTGCAGAGATTGGCGAGCTCTGCTGTCGGAGGTCTGAAAACTGATGGTTGTTTTAGCCCTCTCCCTCGTATTAATTACACAAACTTACGTAAGTTTGTGTAATTTTCTTTTCCCGGTGATGGAGTTTGTGTAATTTTACGCAATTGCTATACATGTAGCTACTAGCTAGAAAATTTTAGTAACCCTAATAAAGAGATCAATTACATATACCTACCTTGAGGTTTGTCTAATTAACAATGATACCCATCGTGTGTAAATAATAACACAGCAATCCCTTCTCATTTTGGTTGTCTCTAACAAATTCCTCAAAATGCTAATTGGGATTAAGGGAACAACACATGTTTGATGATGCTATTAATTGAAGATATCAAATTAGCTCTTGTCCAATTTATACTAAATCTATAAAACAATAATTTCTCTATCTTCCAATCATATTCTATCAAGTGTCTCTGACGAACTGCTTATTTGCGAAAGTCGAATGACTAAAATAATGTTTTTGGTGCTATTGGACAGATAAATAAAATTCTTCTTGTTCAGTCAAGTAAGAGAAATTCCATTAAATTTCTCCGATAAATACCACATATGATCGATAAAAAAAATATCTATAATCACATAAAAACCATGAATATTCCTAAATAAGTATCTATACACTCTCTATAACAACCACTTATGTAATTTTTTTAAAACATTAAAATTTATAATTTAATAAATTTAATAATATTTTTACTAATTTATAAAAATAATTTTGAAAGAGAGTAAACTGGATTGGGAGAAGGAGTGGGCCATGTATCGCATGGGGTCGAACACTAGTATATAAATAAGCTAAACTATGTTGCCGTACGAACACATATTCATTATATATACAATCTAAAATAATTGTCAAACAAAAACATTTTGTGTGCTCTCTCTAGTTGTTTTTCTCTTTCCCCCCCTTCTATTTTTCTTAAGGATGCAATTTAGGCGGGTCAATCTGAATTCAATTCGAATCCAATCAAAAAAAAAAACAAGGCTTGGAATAGAATTTTTAATACTTGGATTGGCCCTGGACAAAAAAAATTTTAAATCGAATTGAATTTGGACAAGCCTTAGGTTGTATGGTTCAACCCGAATATTAAATCGGGTTGAACCCGATTATTAAATCGGGTTGAACCGGAATATATATAAATATATTTAACTAGAATTAGTCTTTATTTTCACTCTTTAAAGTCAAAATTTTCATTTTACTTCAAGTCTTCACCTCACGTCTCCATCACTCTCAAATCCTTCTCTCATTTGTCAGTCCTTCCTCTCTCAATAATCACTCGTCTAAATCATCTCAGACTCTTAACCTCCCTTATCACTTGTCACTTTTTCCTTCTCTCACTCCCTTTCTCTTTATATGCGTCTCGTCTTTCATTTCAAATCACTTGAAAAAATTATATCTATATTTAAAAAAATCAAATATATACTTCAAAAAATTAACCTGAATTAAGTAACCCAAATCAACCCAATTTTTAACCTGAAATCAAACTAAATTAAGTAACTAAAATTCAACCCGAGTTTGCCCGAATTAAATTCGGGACAGTACTTGGGTTGAGTACCTCAAATTGAGGTAGGGTTAGAATGAAAGTTAGGGTTGAAGATTATATATTTAGAGTTGATCTTTCAACCCGTCTGAATTGCACCCCTAATTTTTCTCCTCCAATTCAAATAAATTAATAAATTTTGAGATAAAAATTAAAGTAAAACTTTGAGGACTTGATTGTTACAAATAGAACTAATAGGAGGACCAAGGGGTAAATTAACATTTAGCCGAAAGAAAACAAAGATGCTAATAACTAGAACAGGTGAGCGATGATGCATTCAGGAGCTCTGGATCGATTGCTTTCTCAATTCGATCTCGCCTCTTCAGATCCAGAGGATCATTCGTATTCACCGCTGAACTTGCAATTTATCAATTAGATGAGGGTTTTGCAATTGGCCTTCGTAGTTGCTTTAGCATCTGGATTGGCGGCCATTCTCATCTACATCACTGGTGTCTCAAATCTAAGTAAGCTTGTTCTTCTCTCTCTCTCTCTATATATATATATATATATATATATGCGAGCGTGTGTAGGATTCATTTTCGATGGATTTGATGAACTCTTGTACAGATGGAACGTTACATCTTTCGGACGAAGATTTGGAAGCGCTGCAATCTCTGCAGAGTGGTTTTCAGAAGTGTGTGGTGAGTTTAGGTTTCTAAATTATTGAATTGTTGTGATGNAAAAAAAAAAATTACTTTATCTCTGAGAATTAAACAATTATAGACGATTCTTGAGATTTGAAATAGTGTCGTGTTTCTTTTTAATAAATGATTGAGTTGAAATGTGCTATAAAAATATTACTGTTTTCATTTGTTCATATTTTATTAATGCTGACATAATTTTGATCTTGATTTTTATATAGTAATTAAGTCTTAAATTTTAATATATTTATCATAGTTGAACTTAAAGATTTTTGGTGTGAAATTTACACCTAATTTATTCTTTATTAATGGAGATGTGAGAAATTATTTTTAATACCAGTTAGTTATATTTTTCATTTATGTTTTTGCCCCCACTAAAATAGAATCTTGGCTACTGGGTATTATCATTTGCATGATAAAACTTAACTTTAACTACTAAAAAATTTTAAGATTAGTATGGTAGTATAACACTACATACTCCTCTATCTCTCCAGGCAAGTGAACTCGCCTTGATTGTCTGCCATTAATTTGATCCCAATGGCAAACTATACATAATTAGCACAAGTAAAACTGTTTTGTGGATATGCCAAGGCATGTTAATGAAATTGACAGAGCTTTTTCTACCTCATTATTCTAAATCATAACAGAAGTACACCAAATCAATTCAATGACAATATGCACTTCACATATTTTTTCGATAAGAAGCAAACTCATGTATTAATAATCATTGAAAAGTACATATGNGTGGATATGCCAAGGCATGTTAATGAAATTGACAGAGCTTTTTCTACCTCATTATTCACGATCATAACAGAAGTACACCAAATCAAATCAATGACAATATGCACTTCACATATTTTTTCGATAAGAAGCAAACTCATGTATTAATAATCATTGATAAGTACATATACAATCATGCAAGAAGATATAATTTAACCAACTATAATACTCGTAAAAATTTAACATAGAAGAACCAATAATACCTTAAGATCATCCTCTATCTTGGCTATTGATACATGAATCCCATCCACAGTCTCTCTAAGAGGCGACATTGTTGGGAACTTCGCCTCATCCCACACAAATCTATAATTATCAATCTGAATTCAATTTTCTTGACAACAAAAACATAAAAACTTCTTCATATAAAAACCACTGAAACGTTTTACCTGGTGAGGTATGAATCAACAGGAGCCCCATCGACTGTCAATGAACTACTGACCACACCAGAAACCCTCTCCAATTCTTCGATCTGACGGCGTATCTTCTGTGACACTCCTTCAATGAAACTATTCGACTGCAATATTCCCCAGTTTACATGAGATTAATCACGTAACAATGATTTCTTCCAAACCGCGATGAAATTGAATGGAATTTGAGGAAATTCACCTTCACAAGGTCATCACTGAGTGCTAAAAGCGAATCTAGTGTTCCCACACGGAGATTTGGAATATTAAACTGCAAAATTCAAAGGTTTGATAATCCACAAAAATTGGCGTTTCCAATAGCAGATCTCGAGCTGAATCTAACATATTTTGGGTGTGTGTATTGAGATCATTACCCGATGTAGAGGAGTATCGAAGGCGTTCTTTGAGATGGATTCTTGCAATCGACTCCACAGAGAAGNTTTTTAGTGTGGAATCAACACCTAAACAGAAAGACCCAAAAACAGGAGAACTAGAAGGCTTGACATTTCAATTCAATTTGTGTGAAGCTGTAGCTACATGGGAGCAGGTTAGGCCCCTCTTTTGAATTTGTGCGTTTCTTTTATTATTATATGCTATTTTGTGCTAATATTTCTGCATCATAGTTACTATTTAAGACCATTTGTATATGATACTTCTTGTTGCTGTCTCACTGAATGAGCACATGTATGTTAGAAGCATAACTTTTCTCTTTTGCCTCTCAGCTAGACTGCTTCAATTTGATTGGAAGCCCTCTTATATTACTTGCTTGTTTGTTATATCCCTTTAAGCTGCAACCGATTTGTTATCTAGTGAGCTGAATTGCTCAGGTGCGGAATAGTACTACAATACTCACTAGAGAGTTCATTGAAGCTTTACCAAATGGTTGGGAGGACTATGCCTGGCGGAGGATCAATAAAGGAGTACTTCTGTAAGTACTCTATGTGTGACTACCGTTGAATAAATTTCCATTTAATGCACATATGGATGACCAAAAGATGGCAAATATTGCTATCATGATCACAAATGCCTACGCATAGCATATTTATCTTCAAATATTTTTTTAGATTTTTCTAAAACCATCATAGAAACTTTAAATATTATTGGAGAATTGTATATGTACTTTTTATGTTATAATAAATGTGAATTATTGCCACCCTAATCATTTTAGTTCTGACGTCCAAATGTTTAAGCATTCCACTCTATATCAGGTAACTATAGTAATCGCGAGTGGTCTGAAAATGTACCTTGCTTGCAAGTCATAAAGAAGTTTGGTGAATTTGTCTACAATTGCTATATGATGTCAATGAGCCCAATCAATTGTAAAAAGCTGCTGAGTGCTCTAGTTTCTGCTGCCATATGCAGTCTGATGTGTCACATTTTCCTTGCAGGAACCACTGTAACAATAAGACACTTTGCATGGAAAAACTTTCTCTGGTACTCCCAGAAAGACCACCACATTTTCCACGGCAGTTTGGCCGCTGTGCTGTTATTGGAAACTCGGGAGATCTTTTAAAAACAAGGTTTGGGAAGGCGATAGATAGTTATGATGCTGTCATCAGGGAAAATGGAGCACCTATCCAGGTTAGTTTCAGGTCCTATGCTTATATTTCCATTGTCTTCTCAATTATTTATACTGTTATCCCTTATTTGTATTCCATTGCAGAATTACACAGAATACGTGGGGACGAAAAGTACATTTCGCCTTCTTAACAGAGGCTCTGCCAAAGCTCTTGATAAAGTTGCAGAGTTATATGGTAACAGCAACATCCCACTTTTTTCTGTTCAATTTCAATGTATAAGCAGCATGCTAAAGATTTTAATTCTACAGATTCTGGGAAAGAGGTCTTGATCATCAAAACAACAATACATGACATCATGAACAAAATGATTCGGGTGTGTAGATCATTTTGCACTAACTTCCGTGNCTTTTTCCTTCTCTCACTCCCTTTCTCTTTATATGCGTCTCGTCTTTCATTTCAAATCACTTGAAAAAATTATATCTATATTTAAAAAAATCAAATATATACTTCAAAAAATTAACCTGAATTAAGTAACCCAAATCAACCCAATTTTTAACCTGAAATCAAACTAAATTAAGTAACTAAAATTCAACCCGAGTTTGCCCGAATTAAATTCGGGACAGTACTTGGGTTGAGTACCTCAAATTGAGGTAGGGTTAGAATGAAAGTTAGGGTTGAAGATTATATATTTAGAGTTGATCTTTCAACCCGTCTGAATTGCACCCCTAATTTTTCTCCTCCAATTCAAATAAATTAATAAATTTTGAGATAAAAATTAAAGTAAAACTTTGAGGACTTGATTGTTACAAATAGAACTAATAGGAGGACCAAGGGGTAAATTAACATTTAGCCGAAAGAAAACAAAGATGCTAATAACTAGAACAGGTGAGCGATGATGCATTCAGGAGCTCTGGATCGATTGCTTTCTCAATTCGATCTCGCCTCTTCAGATCCAGAGGATCATTCGTATTCACTGCTGAACTTGCAATTTATCAATTAGATGAGGGTTTTGCAATTGGCCTTCGTAGTTGCTTTAGCATCTGGATTGGCGGCTATTCTCATCTACATCACTGGTGTCTCAAATCTAAGTAAGCTTGTTCTTCTCTCTNGAAAAGTACATATGCAATCATGCAAGAAGATATAATTTAACCAACTATAATACTCGTAAAAATTTAACATAGAAGAACCAATAATACCTTAAGATCATCCTCTATCTTGGCTATTGATACATGAATCCCATCCACAGTCTCTCTAAGAGGCGACATTGTTGGGAACTTCGCCTCATCCCACACAAATCTATAATTATCAATCTGAATTCAATTTTCTTGACAACAAAAACATAAAAACTTCTTCATATAAAAACCACTGAAACGTTTTACCTGGTGAGGTATGAATCAACAGGAGCCCCATCGACTGTCAATGAACTACTGACCACACCAGAAACCCTCTCCAATTCTTCGATCTGACGGCGTATCTTCTGTGACACTCCTTCAATGAAACTATTCGACTGCAATATTCCCCAGTTTACATGAGATTAATCACGTAACAATGATTTCTTCCAAACCGCGATGAAATTGAATGGAATTTGAGGAAATTCACCTTCACAAGGTCATCACTGAGTGCTAAAAGCGAATCTAGTGTTCCCACACGGAGATTTGGAATATTAAACTGCAAAATTCAAAGGTTTGATAATCCACAAAAATTGGCGTTTCCAATAGCAGATCTCGAGCTGAATCTAACATATTTTGGGTGTGTGTATTGAGATCATTACCCGATGTAGAGGAGTATCGAAGGCGTTCTTTGAGATGGATTCTTGCAATCGACTCCACAGAGAAGTTGCGGAGTTTTGAACGGAGAGAGAAACTACCCAGTACCTTGTCGCCATTGTTCATGCGATGTACAGAGACTGCTCCGAAATTCGGGTAAACAATTGTTGAGAGAAAGTGAATTTATACAGAGAAAAACTATGAGATTTTGCAGAGATTGGCGAGCTCTGCTGTCGGAGGTCTGAAAACTGATGGTTGTTTTAGCCCTCTCCCTCGTATTAATTACACAAACTTACGTAAGTTTGTGTAATTTTCTTTTCCCGGTGATGGAGTTTGTGTAATTTTACGCAATTGCTATACATGTAGCTACTAGCTAGAAAATTTTAGTAACCCTAATAAAGAGATCAATTACATATACCTACCTTGAGGTTTGTCTAATTAACAATGATACCCATCGTGTGTAAATAATAACACAGCAATCCCTTCTCATTTTGGTTGTCTCTAACAAATTCCTCAAAATGCTAATTGGGATTAAGGGAACAACACATGTTTGATGATGCTATTAATTGAAGATATCAAATTAGCTCTTGTCCAATTTATACTAAATCTATAAAACAATAATTTCTCTATCTTCCAATCATATTCTATCAAGTGTCTCTGACGAACTGCTTATTTGCGAAAGTCGAATGACTAAAATAATGTTTTTGGTGCTATTGGACAGATAAATAAAATTCTTCTTGTTCAGTCAAGTAAGAGAAATTCCATTAAATTTCTCCGATAAATACCACATATGATCGATAAAAAAAATATCTATAATCACATAAAAACCATGAATATTCCTAAATAAGTATCTATACACTCTCTATAACAACCACTTATGTAATTTTTTTAAAACATTAAAATTTATAATTTAATAAATTTAATAATATTTTTACTAATTTATAAAAATAATTTTGAAAGAGAGTAAACTGGATTGGGAGAAGGAGTGGGCCATGTATCGCATGGAATCGAACACTAGTATATAAATAAGCTAAACTATGTTGCCGTACGAACACATATTCATTATATATACAATCTAAAATAATTGTCAAACAAAAACATTTTGTGTGCTCTCTCTAGTTGTTTTTCTCTTTCCCCCCCTTCTATTTTTCTTAAGGATGCAATTTAGGCGGGTCAATTTGAATTCAATTCGAGTCCAATAAAAAAAAAAACAAGGCTTGGAATAGAATTTTTAATACTTGGATTGGCCCTGGACAAAATTTTTTTTAAATCGAATTGAATTTGGACAAACCTTAGGTTGTATGGTTCAACCCGAATATACATAAATATATAAATATATTTAACTAGAATTAGTATTTATTTTCACTATTTAAAGTCAAAATTTTCATTTTACTTCAAGTCTTCACGCTACGTCTCCATCACTCTCAAATCCTTCTCTCATTCGTCACTCCTTCCTCTCTCAATAATCACTCGTCTAAATCATCTCAGACTCTCAACCTCCCTTATCACTTGTCATTTTTTCCTTCTCTCACTCCCTTTCTCTTTATCTGCGTCTCGTCTTTCATTTCAAATCACTTGAAAAAATTATATCTATATTTAAAAAAATCAAATATATACCTCAAAAAATTAACCTGAATTAAGTAACCCAAATCAATCCAATTTTTAACCTGAAATCAAACTAAATTAAGTAACTAAAATTCAACCCGAGTTTGCCCGAATTAAATTCGGGACAGTACTTGGGTTGAGTACCTCAAATTGAGGTAGGGTTAGAATGAAAGTTAGGGTTGAAGATTATATATTTAGAGTTGATCTTTCAACCCGTCTGAATTGCACCCCTAATTTTTCTCCTCCAATTCAAATAAATTAATAAATTTTGAGACAAAAATTAAAGTAAAACTTTGAGGACTTGATTGTTACAAATAGAACTAATAGGAGGACCAAGGGGTAAATTAACATTTAGCCGAAAGAAAACAAAGATGCTAATAACTAGAACAGGTGAGCGATGATGCATTCAGGAGCTCTGGATCGATTGCTTTCTCAATTCGATCTCGCCTCTTCAGATCCAGAGGATCATTCGTATTCACCGCTGAACTTGCAATTTATCAATTAGATGAGGGTTTTGCAATTGGCCTTCGTAGTTGCTTTAGCATCTGGATTGGCGGCCATTCTCATCTACATCACTGGTGTCTCAAATCTAAGTAAGCTTGTTCTTCTCTCTCTCTCTCTATATATATATATATATATATATATGCGAGCGTGTGTAGGATTCATTTTCGATGGATTTGATGAACTCTTGTACAGATGGAACGTTACATCTTTCGGACGAAGATTTGGAAGCGCTGCAATCTCTGCAGAGTGGTTTTCAGAAGTGTGTGGTGAGTTTAGGTTTCTAAATTATTGAATTGTTGTGATGTTCAGTTATGCTCTATACTATTGATTCCATGTTTAGTTATTTTTGTGATTTTATTGTTATTAGGTTTTATATTGATGATGTTTTCACTAATTTTCCCGGCGAGAATGGCTATGAAATGGTGGATAAATTTCTGAGTGTTGGAGTGATCATATGTAAATCTATTTCGCCTTATTGTGGTGAATTGTGAAGAGAAAATTAAGGAAAAAGAAACTTGTTTCTCCTTTTCAAAAACAGAAATGATGCAAAAATTACAGCCAATATTGCCACAGGTGAAACAGAGGATTGTGTGTGTGTGTTCTATTACGGGCGGTAACAAATGTTGTTGTTTTACTCAGAGCAAGGGGAAACTATCTCTCAATGTTCTGATCTTGGTAGGGATATCAAATGGAGTATAAAATTTAGAATCTTATATTTCTCAGTGTTTGACTGAAAAGTAACGTCTTTCAACTGCTTATATTACGATCACTGGCCTTATTGGAAAAAATTGTAGATTTCAAGAGCTGTAAACAACGTCTAACAAAATATCCCTCATTTTGACATGAAAGATGGTGAGAAGGTGGTACTGATACTCTCCACAACTGTGAAAACAGTAAAGAGGACAACAAATGGTCCAAGGTACTAATGGATGATGTTTTGAATGCATATGTTTTGATTTTTCAAATATTCATCCTTCGCTTGAAAGTTTAAACTTGTAGCTAGTCTTCTGCTCGATTAAGTTAATCCTGAATCTGACTTTCCGAAGGAGGATCACTCTTCTACCCTTGGCTTTCTTGTTTGCTAAAATGATGAGACAGTCACCAATCAGAATTTTCTCCTGGTTAATAAAATATATGAAAATTATTTGTTGCATTTTCTCGGTAGTCATCTTAGTGCATTGGCAGCATTGCTTTTGTTGGGTTACCCCTTTGTGTATATGCTTGAA